TTTTACATAAACATGAGGTAAATCACCAGGACAGAATCAAGCTTAACATCACATTTTGCCAAAAGCCTTTCTAATTTTTCAAGTTTAACTTAACACCCCCTCTTTGTGAAATCATGACTAGTAATGTCACTATTATTACTATTCTTATTGTCTATCTTCTATCATAACAAGAAACATTTAAGTCCCATATAATCTTCAACCCTACAAGAGGTATAAAACAGATATTGCTGTACCCGTTTTATGGAAAAAGAAACTGAGGCTCAGAACATATAAATACTTTGCTAGGAAATATATAAAGAGTTAATGATAGAAGTGAGATAGAGGAGAGGAAGTCTTGTGACTGAAGTCCAGGGATTTTTCTGCTAAACAACTGTTAGTTTCCACATAGATTGCATTGTGCTCCACAGCTTCACAGGCAGTCACTTCCTCTAAGAAGGCACTAGAAGATGTCCCTGGCTTGAACAGGAGCACACACTCTCTCTCTCACACACACACACACACACACACACACACACAAAAAAACCAATTCAGAAGAACTAGAAGAACTGTGGCCATTTTTTCAATGTTGGAAATACAACAATGGACAAAATAAGAAAATCCAGCAAGAGAACAAATGTAGCCTTAGCTTCACTTTTTTTTTTTTTGATATTTGCCTTCTAAATGGTTCAAGTTCTATAACCTCAGAAATTAGTGGTTTTCCCCTATCACTGAGCAAATGGCCTAAAAAGATGGAGTGGGAAATTCCTCTTTCCTTGGCTCCACAGTTCAATGAAAAACAAAACAACAACAATAAAAAAAAAAATCTGGACATTAGTTCATTTGGGGAGACCTTAGTATATAGAGCTGTTCTCTGTTCTGAATATAGTACAAGCAACTGGGAATTTATAGCCAAGGAGCAGGATAAATGTCAGTACATAGAAAAGTACTGAGAGAAAATGACAATGCTAAGTGGGAATTCTGACTAACCTGATGTAACAGGATTCTTGCTGAAAACAGGCCAGGATGATTACACATCTTAGGGGATCATGAAGGATAAGAAACCTGATTAAATATTGAGAGTGATCAGATATAGAAGATGTGGGACTCTTGGCTAAACTGACTTAGCAGGACTCTTGATAAAACTGGATTTTATAAGGAAGTGCCCAAGGGTCTAGGAGAAAATTCTAGAGCCTGACTAAATTTTGGTCAAGCATAGCATCTCTATCAACAAAAAGCTCTTTTCTCTGGGAGGTGACAATGGAGAGATTTAAAAAGAGAAAGTTACTTTCTAGATTGACATGGGCTCTGGGGGACAATTGACTTTCAAAGTCCCCACAAAGTAAAAACAGTTATAAATTCCACAATAACAACTAGGCATTAAAATTGTTTCTCATTGTATTCCCAATCATGAAAACTAAAAATTATGTTATCCTTAATAACTTACTTGCAAGATCCAGTTTGCCTGGCAAATGGCATGCTGATCAGACCTTCCAATTTTTTCACAATTAATATCTAATAGGATATTAGATATCTACTTTCCAATAGGAAATGCAATTCTCATTGATTATTACATGAAGTTAATTATTAATGCATCACATTATAATTTTTAATGTTTATAGTTCTTTGACATATTAATGACATAAGTAAATATTTAAAAAAGAAGATCTACTAAAAGTTGCATTAGAGGTCAAGTCTCACATTGGCCAAATGATTTCACAAGGAAAGCCCTGGAATGTTATTGACAGAAAGTAGAGAACACCTCAGTGACCTCCAAATTTAAAACACTCTGTGGTGCAGAAGAAACTATAAATTACTTCCTTTCTTGCTGACTAATTTCAGTTTTTCAGTTTGTCAAATGATATGTCATTTGTTGGTTTTCAAGACATTATTTTCCCAAGAAAGAGGTTATTTTATTTATTTTTACATAATTAAGAAAGAAAGAAGATTCATGACCTCTAGGATAGTGAAATGCCATTAGTAAGAACAATACTGAACTGGAGATGAATTATATCCATACTGAATACATAGGGGAAAATGCATGTACATTCTATATGTGGTATCACAGAGTGTTGATTTTTAATGTATTTGTTAACACATATACATACATAGTGGGAAATATGATGATTTCTTTGTTGTTCTGAGAGATCAAAGGAGGACAATCATGCATTCATCTCTCTATCTGCTCATTCAATAATATTTGCTGGAGTACATATTATGTGCTGAGAATGGAGATATGACATCAGAGAACCTGCAACTTCAGTAACATTAGCAGACTGACTTCCTCTTTCAGCTAGATAATTTTAAACAGTGCAAAAAACTGAGAGATTAAAAAGTTATAGTGTTTATTTTTAAAATTTTAATTAGGTTTGCATGATAGCAGAATGCATTTTGATTCATTGTACACAACTATAGCACAACTTTACATTTCTATGAATGTAGGAATGTAGCATCACACCATATGTGCAGTCATACATGTACTAGGGTAATTAATGGTGTTTACTTTTTTAATAGAAAGGAAGTGTGAGATTCTGCCTTCCCACAAGGCTCCTCAAAGGCTCAGGCCTTAAAATTTGGTATTTATTGTATAAATAAAAACAGAGGTATTTGCATCCTGTTTCCACCGTGGAATTAAAACAATGTCCTTTAGTTACAGCTTGGGCAACAATGTTGTCTGCCTTTCAACCATTTATAATACAGAGGATTACTACTTTAGAATTAGGGGATATAGGACAGGAGACTGTGTTAGAGTTAGTGCATTAAAGCAAATTTCTAATTCTTTATAACTAGCCTGCATTTACTTCATTAACTAGAAGTTACATTTCCCACGCCTTCAATTAACACTGGTTTCATTTTAAATGCTATCAGTTAAGACAAGATGCGATAAGAAAACATCATTGCCAAGCAAGCATTCCTCAAACACGGCTGATTTATCTCTTTGGCAATTCATTAAAATGCAAAATATATTGAAATTGATTTTCAGCACTTTCAGGCAGGGATGTTTGTAATAATGTTAATTTGCAAATTTCCACCTCTTCCCCCCGCCCTTTAAGTCTCTGCTGTAGACGCCATGTTTAGCCAGAGGCTATTTTTATTGTGCAGACAGAAAATGAACAGCGAACATTTATTTCTCATATCTTTCTGAGAAACCTGAGGTGCATGAAGATATTTGTGCTGTAACAGGCATAGTCAATCTCCTTCACTCGCTTTAGTCGCTGTATATCACCAGCAAACTCCCAGCTAGGCCTGCTGTAGCAATTAACCTGCCAGAGCTCTCTCCTGTCAGGCTCCATAATAATAAACTCCAGCCCCCACCACCCAAGAGAGAGACAGAGCTATAGATTCTGGCTCTGCAACTTCCATAGAGGCTGAATTATTCAGAATCAGCATGATTAAGAAGATGACATGGTATTAGTTAAAAAGTCAGACTTTTTCACCCCTCTTCTGACTGAGATTTAAACCTATTAAGGATTAAAGCAGTGGAGGCAAATGATCTTTCCGTCTTTGGTGCACAGGTCCTAAAATAAGAATTCTTGAAAGACTATTTACAATACCTTGTCAATTTCTAAGTTTAGTAATAAAAGTATAAATACCGGGAGGGAACTGTCAGAGTCAAAATGTACAGCTCACATAAATCTAGAAACTGGCTAAAAATAACACTTTCACCCCAAAGAAACAAAGGGAAAGGTTTGTTTCAAATAATTAGTCATGTTTCCATTGTTATTCTTAAATGAAAAAAAAAATCCCCATGGTTTGTTTTTCTGGGTTAGTTTCAAGTGGACCAAATTGTGATGAATTATAAATTAAAAATCCGGATATACAATCTGTCAGATAACAAGTTGTTAGACTCTAGAAATAGCATGTCCCTAACAATAAACCTTGTCTTTATAAGAATGGGAGTATTATAAATGTCATAATGGATTGCAAATGAACCAGCTGTTTATATTCAACTGTAGTACATGAATGAGAGAAGAGCAAGCAAGGAAATAAAGGAGAGTGAGGAAATTTTTACTAGTACCAAGTCATGGAAAAAAGTCAAAGGAACTCAATTTTACGCATTCCCATCCAATTTACCCTTGCTGGTGACTTTTGGGGGGGAAGTGTAGCTTTTGAATCCAATTGTATTACTGCACTTTAAGATGCCTTCTGGTATATTCAATAGACCCATCATAGTTATGTGTTCTTTTTTCAGTCTCAAGCTGCCCTGACCATATGAGATTGGTTACTGTCTGAGGACTTTCAGGGAAGGATTTGTATGCAATTTCAAAGGCCAGACAGAGAAGCTTTCAAACCACTGCAAGCTTAGGAAAGCAGGGTTGGTGGCACAGAAGGGGTGAGAGACTAGCTTTCTGTTTCTCATTGCACTTTAAGCTAAATTACCTTTTGATCCTACCCAGGTAAAATTGAGGCAGCAGGGCATTTCTAATTGAATGACCCCACCCACCCAAAGCTCTGCAAAATGGCAATTATCTGTAACTGCATTATTTCCAGCATCATCCACATTAACCCAAGGAGACCAGTGATTCCTTTTGAGAACAGAAACACTTTGCTCTTCTATGTGTGATTAAATCTAGGTCCACCCATGAGAGTTCAGCAAATAGCCAAACTGCTCAGGGATGCTCATTAATGGACTGCCATTTTCTGTACATCAGGCTTTTGTCATGCAAAGATCTTATTTCAAGTTTCATGTCCTCTTTTCTCCGCCAGAACTAGAACCCAGCAAAGGGAAGTGGGGAGAGCACCAACATAACCTTACAAATTAAGAGCGTTGCTTTACAGAGCATTATAGTTACTCTATTTAAAAATCCAATCCAGGAGATAGTATTACCACTTGGTATGTTTGCATTTTCAGATAAAGCACCTTACCTCTGGCTGCAGGGCTCTTATCTGTATAATATTCATGGAGTGGTAGCTTTTAATTAAACTATTCACAACTCTATGCAACTCAAAGTGTATATTTTAGTGCTGCAGAAACCAACAGTCAAGAAATATTCTATATTTTAAATTTATTTTTAAAGCCTGGATGGTTTTATTACCAGTGATGTCATGAACAGTACTGTCCTACAAAGATGACTAAATGTTGTGTATTGAGAGATGTGCAGATCATATCAGGGGTCCCAAAAGTTCATGAGACTCTTAACTTTCACAGATATAATATTCATAGATCAGACTTTGTCAGTAACTCTTGGACATCCATGATATGTAATCATTTGTCCTTTTACCCAAACATAACTTTATTCACACATATGTTGGGTATAGAATACAGAGAATCAAGTCTCCCAATTCTTTTTTAAAAAATGTATTTTCTCAGTCCCTCTTACTGATTCTCTTTTTATTTCTATCACCTAAACACTGAAGTTCAAATCTCTTTCTCTTTTCAGTTTCTTCAGTCTTCACACTCTAGGCCATTTCTTTCAATCCTGGGGCTTTGAGTTCCATATATATGTTGATGACTTACAAGTCCAAATCCTCCATCCAGACCCCACTCCTGAAATTCAGAAGCATCTAATCAGATACCTTCTTGCACACTGGGTATACAACTGACACTTAAACTCAACACAGAAGAACCAGAATTCGTAATAATAACAGATATTTATATTCATTTAATGTTTACAATCATAATCTTTACAAATAAACCCTAACAGAAATCTAACATTGCCCATTTTACAGGTTAGAAAACTGGGACTTGAGAAGTTAATTATCAAAAGTCATGTAGTTACAGGGAACTGTGCTTTGGACTTGAATGTATCTGACTACAGTCTATGTTTTTAATCACCATCTCCATGTTGCCCAGCCTCAGTCTCCATTTCATGTGCTTAATTTTTCTTGGTGGTCTTTTCCCATTTTAACAGTATAATTACTTTTTTGGCAATGCCTCTGCCAACCCTACACTATCTTCTAAAGTTGGTATACATTTGTCATTCTACCAAAAATCAACGAGAGTTCCTGTTATGCCATACTCATCATTGTTAATGTTATCAGAATCATAAACTTTAGCTATTTTAATAGATATATAAATGTATTTTTGTTTTAATTTGCACTTTTTAATGTCCTAAGATGTTGAGCATCTTTGCATCTATTTGCCACCTGTACTTTTTCTTTAATGAGGTGTCTGTTTAGGTCTTTTGCCCATTTTTAACAGGGTTGTTCATTTTCTTAGAGTTTTTGGTATATTTTGGATAACATCTATATCGGTGTTATTTATTTATTTATTGCAAAACTGAAGTGTCAGCAGAACTGTATTCCTTTCTGGTGTTTCTAGAGGAGAATTCATTTCCTTGCCTTTTTCTACCTATCAGAAGTTGTCTTCAGCCCCTGGCTCGCAGCCCCTTTCTCCACCTTCAAGGCAGCAACAGCAAGTGAAGTCCTTCTCTCATGGCATCACTCTGAACTTACACCTATCTTCACATGTTTAATTTTCTCTTCTGTCTCCTTCTTCCTCCTTCAAGGATCCTTCTGATTATACTGAGTCCATCCAAATGAAACAGGATGATCTCCCTATTTTATAATCAGCTATTAACAGCCTTAATTCCACTTCTTGCCATGCAACCTAAAATTTTAGAGTTTCTGGGGATTTTTAGAACAGAGGCATTTGCGGGGAACAATTATTCTGCCTACCACAGTGTTCCATAAATATTTGTTATTTATTAGTATTGAAATAGGGTAAGAACTAAACATAACTCAATTACTTATTAAATGTATAATACTGAGCTAATAAAGTCTTGTATTTTATAACTGTTGTGTTCCCACTTAATTCAGCAACAGTGGTGTTATTTTTAACAGTTCAAGTGTATGAAGTCTGTTTAAAGTACTTAGCTTTCATAGAAACAAAAACTCCTGTCTTTCATGTCCACATGGAGCAAAAATTTATACAATATTTAATTAAATTACATGATGACTGTAGCATTTATACCTGGGAGAAGCATAACTGACTGTTGATAAATATATAACTTAATAGAGAAACAAAAGCCTTTAAACTCAATAGAGGGATGTCAGCTCATGACAGGCACACCACATGCAGTGAGCATCCATCCAAGTGTTTTGCAGAAGGAATGGAGATTGTCCAGCAATCCGGTACAGTTGACTGGGCTTTTTAAAAAAGAGGACCGATTTTCCTACAAACATTAGAATGCAAGCTTTGCAGGCAGACATGAGTTCTAATTCCCTCTTACTTGTGTCTTTCTTGGGCAAATTAATTAATGTCTAAGAAGTTCTGCTCCCTCTTCCTATCAAATGACAGTTAAAATGCCACCTATATCAGAGTGTAGTGGTAACAAAGTAGTCTTGGAGATAAACATATTTACTGAGTAACTATTCTATCAATCACAGATATTATCAGACCATTTTCATTACTTCCTTGAATAAATTCCTGGATGTGAACTGCTGAATTCAAGTGTTTAAAAGTTTCTTGATTTTATATAAAACTATATAAAAATAGTCTCCAGAAATACAAATCAATTTCATTTTTAACTACAATATATAAGAATGTTCATGTCTTTAACATACTTGCTAATACTATCATTTAAAAACTGCCAACTGAGTTGCATAAATAAATAATATCTGGAATTGTTATTTTAATTTGAATTTCTGTGATTATTGCTTTGGGGAATTTTTAAATGTGAAATTACATTGACCAATTGATTTCCTTTTTCTATTTTTTCAGTTGCTGGTTAATATCCTTATCCCATTTTAATTAAGAAGTTTATAGTTTTCTCATTGATTTTTAAGATTTTGAAATATTATGACCTGTCTGATATGCCCTTCACTTATCTGATTAATGTTTTTTTTCCAACTTATTTATGTACCCTAAGGATACCCATAAAAGATAATTTCCAAATTTCCTCTGTCCTTTGAGGGGAAAAATCAACCTTAAAACACCATCTGCCTGAGATTTCCTATGGCTAGTAAATTTCCTAGTGATATTATCACATGCTATTTAGTATTCATTAAAGAGTTCATATGGTTCTAATAATCACTTGACTTTTTAAGAAATGCCACACTATCTTCAAAAATTTTGCTTCTTCTTTATAGTCTTCTCATGCATTTGATACTTAATCAACTTGCATTTGTGAACCCTGACTTGTTTTCATCAATCAATTTCTATTCTTTTTTAATGGCATATTTCACTGGGCTTGCCTTTATTAACTGTTACCTTAAAGCTTATTATTATAACACCTTCATCTGTTAAATAACATCAACATCCTTCCCAGCACCTCAGCACTTCTAATCCCCCTCCTCAGAGCCCCCTCACTGAGTGAAAAGCAATGTATTTTTTGTTGGAAGCATTGAATGAATAATTCATTTGGAAAAATCATCCGTGTTGTGCATGTTCAGAAGAGACAGAGCACTTCTCTTGTCAGTCACAATGGCTTGGGTAGGACTAAGTGCTGTTCAGTGTGTTCTTGGAGTGTACTGCTGATGGCGGGCTGCTGAGATTGCCAACTGTGTTAATCCTGACCATCCTTCTTTGTCTTTTGTGACAGGAAGATTAAGATTCAGAGTCTTATTCAACTGTTGCAGTTAGACTGTATTTCACTTTGTTGTTTCAAGTCTTCTTTTAAGTTACTGACAGTTTCTCGTCATTGTACCTAAAACCCTGACCTAGAGCAACTTATTCCTGGGGAAGCATGGAAGAGAGAAGAAAGAGTATGGTCTTTCTGCATCAGAGGCCCTTGGGTTTGGGCTCTACATCAGCCATTTATTAACTTAGCAACATGGGTGAGTTACATAACCTTGATGAACCTCAACTTTCTTAAAGTATTGAAAGGATTACTGCTACAGGGCAGCTTATGGGGAGGTATGATTTCAAAAAGAGTTTTCTTCTGGAAGCACTCAACATTCTGCCTGCAGGATGGCAGATTTCTAGTTAATGTTCATGTCTTATAAATTTATTCCTTCATCATTGTCCCTATTAGCTCTTGTTTTAATACTCTGCTAAACAGTACAAAATACTGAGTGAACATATCATTATCCCAATTAACAACACTGAATATTTCCCTATTTTCATGAGATAACCTTCACTCTTCCTATCAGGAGCCAATCTGCCACCCCTTTCATTCCCACCAACACCATGTGCCCAGTGGACCAACCACATCCAAATGTTCTTCATTTTCCCCACTTTTTTTCTAGCCAACTTCAATTTCCAGGCCAACTCACATTTATCTCATCATTAGAAAATTACCTATACATGTCTCAGTCTCCCAATTAGACTGTGAGCTTCTAGGGGCATGTATATCACTTAATGTCTCGTTTGGCTTACATAAAATACCTCAAGGGATATTTTATTTTTTGATGAATAAATGATTGAATTAGTGAAGTATTAAACATTTTGAGAAAAAATATGAATTTTAAAATTACTTAAATCTAAATTACAATGTCCCAATAATATAGTGATAGGAACCAAGAAATACTTATTGCATTTCAAACCTACCTTTGATCAAACATCTGTGAAATCATGTTAATAATGCTACATGCATTGTTCTTAATGGTTACATCTTCCAATAGCCCCCCTCCTCACTGATTGCTTTCTCTATATTCTCCCTCTTCCTTCCACCTTTTGGAAAAAGTGGAATTAAGAGGCATGATTTGGAGATTCCCTCAAAGACTGGTAACGTCAGATGTGTTAAACAGAAGAGGGATCTTGCTGTTACTTGCTGGACCTATAAAACATCCTCACAAATTTAATAGGTGACTCAATTTGGCACTGTTAACTCTTTCCTTCCTGGTTTAAAGGCTCAGTTCTGCATATGCCTAGGAACATACATTCCATTTTCCCCCCAGGGGTGTGTATTTTCTTAACTGGTTCTGGCTAAAACTATTAGGCAGCAAGCCACATATCATAAACGTCTTAAGGGATTTTTATTCTGCAATTTCTATGTGATGTCTATTGATTTTTCAGGAAATGTTGCAGCATTTTTTCTGTCTCCCTTGGGAAAATATCTAGAGCCTATCACAGAGCATATTGACTGATCAACCCTTCCATGCTACTATTGAATATATTTATGATATATGGCCTATACCATAGAACCTATGCCCCTACTCAGAACTCAAAACTAATAACATTTGCTCCGCGAAAGAATAACCTAGGGCCTCAAATGCAAATGAAACTAAGACTTTTAAAGGATTGCCATTTGAGAAGAGCTACTAGTGATAACTTCCACTTATGGATATCAGACATGTAAACGTTTGTGTGTGTGTGTGTGTGTTTCTATATGTGTGAGTTACCAAGAATGTTAGCAAAAAGGATAGTAATTACAACTAATGGAAGACTCATTAAGTGTCATATTCTGCATGCAGTACCTTATTTAATCAGGAAACAATCTGTAAAACAGGGAATTATTATCTCTATTTTACAAAAGAGAACTATATGCTAAAGCTCTTCTGTAGTTTGCCAAATGTCACATAGTAAAAAAAAAAAAGGAGAAATTCAAACAGTCCAATTCCAAAATCCAGTTTTTACCACTTTACAATACTTCAATAATATATGGCTTCTACAACTTATTTCTCCAAAATCATTTAAAATATGATGTCATCATAATGTACTTAATCAAGAAAAAAAAATGACTCTTGGAATTGATAGATCAGGAAAATCACCTTTTGGCTAGGAATGATTTCATTAAGAAGACAGAATCATGAAACCTACCTGAGACCCACTAGGGGAAGGACACTGGAATCTTAAAATACTTCCTCAGTCAATTTTCATGCAGCCTTCCCAGCCTCAATTTGTGGGTTCATGGCAGGGGATCATGTCTTAGAATCTATGTGTTTGGCTATGAAATATTTCTGTCAAAAGGACTGGAAACATAGGAACTATTCAATAAATTGTCATTGAACTTACTTTTGAGACATCAATCTCCATAAGTAATATTCTGCACATTAATGATTAGAAGCATTTTTATTTTAATATTTTGAAAGAGGAAATCTATTCCATCCAACAATGCAATTAAATATGTAGGATCTGGGGGAGACAGGTAGCAACAGTGGAGTCTCTCAGCAGAGTTTTGCATCAAGCAGAAAGGTTACACTCAAGGTAGACATTTTCCTTCCTAGGACAGTACCTGTGTCTATCATTAAGGTTTATAGGTATTTGTATATGTCATTACTGTTGCCAGTTTTTCCTAGGTCCTGGGGAGAATCAAGCTGAATGCCTATAAAATACAGGAAGCTCCTAAGAGAAAGATGCTCTCTAAAGATATAGTATTACTATAAATTTCAACTACTTCCCCTAGCCTGAAAATGCTGTCCTGGAGAGAATGGTCACTTAGCAGTCATTGGCTCATTTTCTAAGCTAGCAGGAAACCAGCCTAACTCCTCGGCTTGGTAAAAATAGAGTAATGGGGGTCACTGGAGCAAAGGGGAGAGAAAATACTAACCAAAGTCACATCAATCAATTTATAAAGTTTTAATCATTTATAAATAAAACCTTATCCACACTTGGTATAACAATAACAAAAACATGGACTTATAAAACTTCATTACCTGTTCAAAAATGGAATACCATCTTCATAAAAGAATTTGTTTTATTTTCTGGCTTTCTTCCTGCTGCCAGAACTCAACCCAATTCAGCATGTGGCAGCATCCAGGAGACTGATTCTCTTCTTTACCCCTTGAGTAGTATCAGTCATCTCTTATCTCCATCAGATTTTCACAGTAGCTATTTGAACAAGGACAGTTCCTTTGGAGTTAATCTTTTCAACTCAAAGGCAAAATCCATTTAGCTCATCTCATATATATGAGGCTAAATGTCTCTGAGCTGCTCATAATCTTGGAGAAGTGCCATCTTTTAGCCTTCAGATAAATACAGTACTTCACCAGCCCTAGATATCTTGTACCCAATCAGGGTATCATAACTAAAGTAAAAACCAACATTTTAATGGGAAACGAATACATTTGTAGAAAGACAAAAGGAGTATAAATCATACAACCATTCTGGAAAGTAATCATGGTTATGTGATTAAAAGACTTGTAAATATTAATACCATATTTTATATGCACTCACATGTTTACATATTTTTATGTAAAATATTATAAATAAATGACATAAAATATGTAAAATGTGCAAACAAAAAAACCCCAATACATCCAATGTATTTATATTATTCTACAGGTGACCTTGTCCTGGTCTAGGAATTTTATGTCAACAACTCTCAGATCTATCTCTAGATAACTAATAGGCATCTCAAAACTAAATTTTTGACCCCCCGTTGCCAAATCCACTCTTCTCACAATCTTCACATCTCAAATAGAAACTCTGATAATTTGCTCTAGGCAAAAACCTTAGAGGACTCCCACTAATTCCTTTTTATCTCACAGAAACCAGGACATTCCCATAGTCTCTACCCTCATAATAGTTCAAGAATTCAGACATGCCTTACCACTTCCCTCACCCTCACTCTTTAAAACCATCCTCTATTTGGAGATCAAAGAGAGCTCTAAGTTTAGTCATCACTAAACTGATACAGTTGGTAGTGTTATGTATACATGGGATCACTTATAGAGGAAATGAGAAGAGAAAAATAAAATCCAAGGAAATGTTATGAGAAACATAGATGTAGGAGGTGAAAATTGCAATAATCTGAAAGGTAAACCCAAGCCCTTGCTTTGTTAGAGATGAAACCATGTTTGATTAGCACTTGAAATAAAGCTGGATTTGCTTCCAAACACATTCTATGGAGCTAGTATCACCCTGATACCAAAACCAGACAAAGACATATCAAGGAAAGGAAACTTCAGATCAATATCCCTGATGAACATAGATGCAAAAATTCTTAATAAAAATACTGGCAAATCACATATAAAAACATATTTAAAAAATAGTGTAACATGATTAAGTGAGGTCCATCCCAGGGATGCAAGTTTGGTTATACATAAATCAGAAAACCTAATTCATCATATCAATAGATTTAAAGAAAAGAATCATATGATTATCTCAACAGACACAGAAAAAAAAAAACATTTGAGAAACAGAGCATCCATTCATGTTCAACACACTAGAAAAACTAGAGATAGTAGGAACATACCTCAAGGCCAACATCATTCTAAACGGACAAAATTTGAAAGCATCCCTCTAAAAACTGGAACAAGACATTCATTTTATTGTCTTTCCTGTTTCCTTTTCTCCTCTATTTCCTTCATGCCTTTGTATAATACAATGGATTTCTATTCTTTCCCTCCCTTGTTGTGGATTAGCATCCACATATCAGAGAGAACCACTGGCCTTTGGTTTGGGGGGACTGATTTATCTCACTCATCATTACATTCTCCAGTTCCATCCATTTACTAGCAAGTGCCATAATTTCATTCTTCTTCTTTATGGCTGAGTAATATTCCATTGTGTATATATACCACATTTTCTTATCCATTCATCTGTTACAGGGCACCTAGGTTGATTCCATATGAGTACTATTACTATGTAACTAGAGATGCCAAAAAAATTTTTAATCCTTACCTGGATGGCTCCAGTCCCATGAGATTAGGGGGAGACCCTAATCTATAACTACACAGCTTCCTTAGTTCTATCCCAGAGCAGAAGCCCTCCTTGGTCATCACATCATCCAAGTTCTTGTTAGATGGACCAGGTTGATACCCAAGAGGTAGTGCTGGAAGGAAAGAGATGGAGTTCCTAAGAGAAAGTAATTGTGAGTCATGTCATGTAGGAAGATAAGTAAAGCTTGGAGCAAAGAGCTACCTAAGACTTTGTCCCACAGTACCCTGGAAACTCTGGATACAAACACTAGAAAAGAAATATGCAATATTAATTTTAAAACTCTGGAAGAAATCTCTTGAAATATTGATGGATGAAAGGAAGAAGAGGTGCACAGAGGAAGACAAGGAGACTACAAACACCTGAGTGATGGTGGTCCATGGGAGGGAAACAAAACGATGCATCCCCAGATTCCAGAGCAGAGAAAATATGTAGCTGAAGATTAAACTCTCATTCTATACACTATTCACATCAGAGAACCTAGAGGGAATTATTTAGGACAAAATTTCTAGGAAAACCTGGATCCTGTCATCTAAAAGGGTAAAAGATTTCAAAGTTAATTTAGAGTTGAAATCTTATAAATTTAAGTCCTGGGATGTACTGATCACATTTCTTCTCCAAATTGTTTTTAATTAGCATCAACCATTTGCATTATTTTTAAATCAATAATGAAGAAATTAAAATAAATTGACCAGGATTGCCACACTCATTTTTTCCCTCTATATTTCTAAAAGATTTATTTACATTCACAATTCAAATATCACATGAAGTAGTTGGCAAATATCCCATTTCATTGACTGAAAAATGGAGTACTGCAGGGATTAATGATCCTTCTAAAGGTCAAAATTCTAAACACTAAATCCCATAGGTTATTTTTCCCTAAGCACAAATTCCTTTTCTCAACATGCTCCAAGCAACAGCCAAATCATAATTTCTACTTCATCTTAGATTCTTTACTTGTTAAGTTTGTACCAGTTAATTTGAGACTAATTTTCAGATATTAAAAATGGCATTTGGCTTTATTCCAGTTAAGATACAGTTGACTGTTCTAATTGTTCTTTCTTCTGTTTTAGGGCTTCTCTGTGACTCATGTGGGCTCTTTCTTGAGGACATTCATCTGATGGAATTTCTGTCTTCTTATATTCCATGGTTGGGGACATCCTTTTTTTCAAAATATAGGGGTATTTCTCCTGGATGACATATTTTATAAGAAACACAATTTTATAAACAAATCAAATCTTTCTATTGAAGGCTCATTTTCATAAGTAACAGTTATCAATTTTGCTTAAATTTATACTAATAAATTTAGATTAATAAATGTTATTAAAATACCAATGTTTTCATTTTCATCTGACATCTATTTTCATTCCAAGTCTTATATATAATCAGAGAGAGGGAAGAAAGTCACAAAAATAAAATACTGTCAGTTACTGCACAGTTTTATGATTATTTCAGAGAAGAAACTATATTTTAACTAGTATTTCTTTTCCCCTCACCCTTTCATTTTTTAAAGGTATGCCCACCTAGTGGTAGTAATTACTCTTGTAGGAAGAATCAGAAAAGCAAAATTGTGCTGTTAAGGGCCAAGAGGTAAGAAATGTATTTTAGAAAACATTTAAATGAATGTGGTTTCCTACTGAGTTATGGCTTTCCCAAATGAATGACTCTTTTGACTAGTTCTCAAGTATAAGGCAGAAACAAGTAAACATCATTGTTCAAGCTTCTAGTTTAGGAAAAACATACAAGTCATCTCCTGTCTACAATAATTCTATGTTGAGTGTGAGTACAAGTAATCTTCACTTAATTAGACTAAGGGTCTCTAAGGAATAAAGAGTGAGTAGATCGAAGTTTGATAGAGGAGGAAAGAAGAGATTTGGTAAGTTCTGTTCTGTTACTCCATAGTGAGAATAGCTATGGTGGCAGCTGTGCTGGAAACAGAGAATCATAGCCTAATAAGCTTTTAAAGTTGAAGCAAGAATAACTTGGCAGTTATTTAATTCAATTATCATCCAATTTAGCAGAGAAGAAGCTCAACTCTGAAGTAATGTAGCTTAGCCAAAATTAGACAATTCTAAATGTAAAAGTCAGGCCAAGGGTTTCTACTTCTATTGAAAGTTCTTTCTATTATTGTCCCAACTACCTCTTTTCAAAGAAGACCCAAATGGTAATGGAATCTATGGGGATCCAGTTTGTTTTGCATTAATATGGGAATTATGCAGATGTCTAGGAAGGCCGAGGGGAGGACATCAGAGACACTAAAGAGAAACTAAAACTTTGATTTAAGCAGAAATATGTTTGAAGATATCAAATACTCCATAAAGAGATCAAACTAATGTGGGTGGGGAAAACAAAAGTTAGACACTCAGACAGAAACAAAACAGTGGTTTGAATATCAGGAAGTGATGGTTGTTTGTCAGAAAAGCCAAAAATAAGTTCTAGAAACAATAGTTTTGCATTTCAGGCACATCTACGTAAGAGTGGCAGGTTGTGGAGGAGAAGGTAGGTTTCACTGACAAGGTTCACTGATCTTTGTCATGTGGGCAGGGGGGTTTTGGAAAGCTTACTCACCTGGGACATTTCCCACTTCCCTGGGGTCTTCAAAGTACCCTGTGTTCAGAAGAGGGCTTTCCACTACAGTTCAATATTCTTTCTTCACTTAATTAGTCTGTAGACTAATCAGAAGGCAACATTCAAACTATCAAGAGAAATATGTTCAATTTACAAAACTGTTTGGAAATGTAAGCTCTTATCCTCTCTCTTATCCTCAATCATTCTCTTTCTATCTATAAACTTTTATTATGTTCTAAGTTTATTAAGTCAGTTTCCCTTTTTAAAATGTTTGGTCAATTAATAATGAATTTCTGTCATGTAGCTGGTACCTTTTAATCAATGAGGTCAGTAGAAACATTGAATTCAGCATTGTGCATTGAAATAGTCACCACTCTTGATAGTTTTTGTCAGATAGGCAACAACTATGATAACCATCAGTAATGGCTTCATAACCCCATGTCTTGATCATATCTTAATCTTCAAAGTCAAAGTTCAATTACATCAATTAAAGTTCAGTAAATCATTGAGAAGCACAGGGCTTAACTTTTTCACAGAAAATGGTTCTCAGTTCAAATCAACTGGTATGGTTTTTCAAGTTCAAGTGTTTTCCTAGCCTCTGAAACAGAGAATCCTGCTTGAGTGGTGTGCTTACAATATACGTTGGCATTTTGCTCATCTGTTGTGTTCTTGAACCGTAATTCATTATCAGTGATGTTTTTCCAAGTTACAAGAAAAGAAGACTAGGCAATTAATTTTGTTAATACCATTGAAAAAAGCTCTTATGTCCTCTTTCATGCTGCTTAGTGTCAGTTTGATACAACTCCATTATCTCTTATCTATAAATATAAAATATGTAAACTCTAAAAATCAAAGTTTTTTTTTAAATTAACAGCATATTTATTTAGTGGAAAAGCCCGATGAACTAATATCAGACTCTCTGCAATCTATTTTCTCAATGCAAATATCAATGTTTTTCACTGCAGAAATCTTATCAGTTAGCTTTGCATCTCTGTGATCAAAATACCTAACAAGAATAACTTAAAGGAAGAAAGATTTATTGTGGCTCATGGCTTCAGAGGATTCAGTTGACAGTCGGCTGGCTCCAAGGCAGAAATGAGATGGCAGAGGGCATGGAAGAGGAAAACTGCTCAGCTCATGGCAGCCAGGAAAGACAGAGAGTGGGTAGCATCTGGGAAGAATATAAACACTTCCAGGTCACACCCCCAGTGACCTATTTCGTCCATCTAATTTCCTCCCATGTCCCACCAGTCCTTTCAGCTATCAACAGATTAATCCATCAAATTGACTAATCCACTGATGAGGTTAGAACCCTCATGATCCAACCACTGCTTAAAAGCCCTTCCTCTAAACCTTTATGCATTTGGGACCATGCATTCAACAGAAGACATTTAGGGCAAATTTTAAATCTAAACCATAACATCTTATGTTTGACTAAGACCTGCCCTGGACTCTGAAGGTAATATATAAAATGTGTGTGTGTGTGTGTGTGTGTGTGTGTGTGTGTGTTGTGTGTGGGTATGTGTGTGTATGTTTGTATAGTGCATTTCATTTATAAAATACAAAAAAAAAACCCTGAATTTCAAAACAAAAGTAGTCAAATTGGCTTTAGCTAAAGATGATCTTGAAAAGATAAAATTGATAATTTTCTAGGAATGTAGAAAGTAATTACCATACCTTCCATACAATAGAGTATCTGGCTTTATTTGAGTAAACAATTTTTATTATTGTTGCTTATACATTTATAGGCTTTGTTCTCCAGAAGATTTTTGTTTGCTTTATGTTTTGCTATTTGTATTTTTATTTTACTCTTCAATTTGTGTACTCATGAAGAAAATGTCAGATGAAGAATACTGGAGATTATTACACAACATGGTGGCCATACAGACTTTCTGATATTATTAGGAAAGTGCCTTAAGGCTATTTACCTGGCTACTTCATGTCATGAAAGACATATTTATTCAAAGAACATTTAATATTTGGTCTCTTTGCTAAGACAGTAAGCAAAGGAATTAATTTTAAAAAGAAATGCTATTTATTTGACCTGTGTCCAACATAAACCCCAACACCTTGTTTCTTGTTCATTCCCACTGCAATCAAAAAAGCCTACATGAATCTTACCCAATCTTAAAAACAACCATTTTGAAGAGAAGAGTTGTCTAATATCTTCTCAGGCAAGTACCACTAATAAAATCTTTTTGCTTTCAAAATATATAGCTTTAGTTTTGCAATTTTAATTAGAAAGAGAACACTATTAAAGTCAATATTCTCAAAGGAGGTACTGGTGAATAAGAAGATCAAATTATGTTATGCGTATGTACAAATATGGTATACTGAATCCCACTACTATGTATAATTCCAACATACCAATAAAAATATTTTAAACAAGTCAATATACTAATTTTTAGTTTCCTCTTCATAAGGACAACAATTTTAGTTTTGTTAAAATGGGTACGAAATTAAACGTGTTAGGTTTCTGGATGAAGAATGTTAAGTATATATGATTCCTTATTGACTGTAATATTGAATTCCAAATGAGTTTTAGAG